GAAGGAGACAACATCCAAACTATATCATTCTGCCCCTAGTTACAAGTCTCTTGTCCTTCTTATATTAGAAAATACAATTATCCTCTTCTCAGTAGTCCCCCAAAGTCTTAATTCCAGCATTACCTTCAATCAAAAGTCCAACATCCAAAGTCTCACCTGAGATTCCAGGACAAGCTCCTTCCAACTATGAGCCTGTAAAATCAAAACAAGTTATTTACTTTCAATACACAAGAGTGGTACAGACATTGTGTGGACATTCTCATTCCAAATGAGGGAAATCAGCCAAAAGAAAGAAGCAGCTGGCCTCACACAAATCTAAAATGCCATAGGGCACACACTGCATCTTAAAGCTCTAAAAGAATCTCCTTTGACTCCATGTCTCACATCCAGGGCACACTGGTACAAGCAATGGGCTCCCAAGGCTCTGGGCAGCTCTGACCCTGTGGTTTTGCAGAGTGCAGCCACCCACAGTCACTCTGATGGCGTTGAGACCTGCAACTTTTCCAGGCTCTGGATGCAAGCTGCCAGTAGCTCCACCATTCAGAGGTCTGGTGTATGGCAGCCCCCTTCCCACAGCTCCACTAGGCAGTTCCCTGGTGAGGACCCTTAGCATTGCCCTAGTAGAGTTCCTCTGTGGAGATTCTGCCCCTGTGGCAGGCTTCTGTCTGGGCACTCAGGCTTTCTGATGCATTCCCTGGAGTCTAGGTGGTAGCTACCAAGCCTTCTGCACTCTTCCATTCTGCATACCTGTACAGATAAGACCATGTGGAAACTGAAAAGGTTTACAGCTTGTCACCTACAGAGTAGTGGGCTGAGCTATACCTGGGATCCTTTGAGCTGAGGCTGAAGACAGAATGGCTGGGATGTGGGGAGCAGTATCCTGAAGCTGAGCAGGGCAGTGGTGTCCTGACCCTGGCCCTGGCCCCTGAAACATTCTTTCTTCTAGGCTTCTGTGTTAGGCCATTCTTGCATTGCTATAAAGAAATACCTGAGACTGAGCAATTTATAAGAACATAGGTTTAATTGGCTCACAGTTCAGCAGGCTGTACAGGAAACATAGTGCCAGTATCTGTTACTGGGCAGGCCTCAGGAAGCTTTTACTTGTGGTGAGAGGTGAAGCAGGGGCAGATGCTTCACATGGAAAAAGCAGGAGCAAGAGAGAGAGAGAGTGGGGAGGGAGGTGCCATATATTTTTAAATTACAAGATCTTTCCAGAACTCACTATTGCGAAGACAGCACCAAGCCATGAGGGATCCGTCCCTATGACCCAAACACCTCCCACCAGTCCCCACCTCCAGCATTGGAGATTACAATTCTACATGAGATTTGGGCAGGGATAGATATCAAAACTATGTTGGCCTCTGAGCCTGTGATGGGAGAGACTGTTCTGAAGATTTCTGAAAAGACTTTGAAGCCTTTTTCTTCTTGTATTGGATAGTAGCACTTGGCTCCTTTTTAGTCCCGCTAATTTCTCTAGCAAGTGGTTGCTCCATAGCTTGCTTGTATTCCTCACCTGAAAATGCTTTTTCTTTCTCTGCCACATGACCAGGCTGAAAATTTTCCAAACTTTCATGCTCTGCTTCCCTTTTGTCTATTTTTAAATTTTCATTATATTTTATTTTATTTTTGAGATAGAGTCTTGCTGTATCACCTAGGTTGGAGTGCAGTGGTACACTCTTGGCTCCCTGCAACCTATTCCTCCTGGGCTCAAGCAATCCTCCTGCCTCAGCCTCCCAAGTAGCTGGGATCACAGGCATGCCACCATGCCCAGCTATTTTTTTGTATTTTTGTAGAGACGGGGTTTCACTGTGTTGCCCAGGTTGGTCTTGAACTCCTGAGCTCAAGCAATCTGCCCACCTTAGCCTCCCAGAGTTCTAGGATTATAGGTGTAAGCCACCGTGCCTGGCCTCTGTTTCCCTTTTAACTGTAAGTCCCAACTTTATTAAGTCATTTGTTTTTTTGGTCCTGTATCTGATCATAAATTGCTGGAAGCAGCCAGCCTCTTTAATATTTTGGTGCATTTATATTTGTTCTGCCAGATATTCTATTAAGTTCAAACTTCCACAGCTCCCGAGGACATGAATACAAGGCAGCCAAGTTCATTGTTAAGGCATAACATGGGTGACCTTTACACCAGTTTTCAATAACTTCCTCATTTCCAAGAGACCTCCTCAGCACGGCCTCTACCATCCCTATCTCTATCAACATTTTGATCACAATCATTTAACCAGTCTCTAAGAATTCAAAATTGTCCCTCATCTTTGTGTCTTCTTCTGAGCCCTGCAAACTCTTCTAACCTCTCTGCTCTTTGTCCTGTCCCAAAGCCACTTCCACATTTTCAGGTGTCTTCATAGCAACACTCCAGTCCTGGTACCAATTTTCTGTGTTAGGCTATTTTTGCATTGCTATGAAAGAATATTTGAGGCTGTGTAATTTGTAAATAAAAGAGGGCTAGGCACGGTGGCTCACACTTGCAATCCTAGCTCTTTGGGAGGCCCAGGCTGGCCAATTGCCTGAGGTCAGAAATTTGAGGCCAGCCTGGCTAACATGGTGACACCCCATATCTACTAAAAATACAAAAAATAGCTGGGCTTGGTGGCACATACCTGTAGTCCCGGCTCCTTGGGAGGGTAAGGCAGGTGAATTGCTTGAATCCAGGAGGCAGAGGTTGCAGTGAGCTGAGATTGTGCCACTGCACTCCATTCTGAGCAATAGAGCAAGACTCCATCTAAAAAAAAAAAACAACAAAGAGAGAGAGAGAGAAAGAAAAGAAAGGAAAGAAAGAAAGAAGGAAGGAAGGAAGGAAGGAAGGAAGGAAGGAAGGAAGGAAGGAAGGAAGGAAGGAGGGAAGGAGAGAGAAAGAAAAGAGAAAAAAGAGTTTTAATTGGCTCATGGTTCTGCAGGCTGTATGAAACGTATGGTGCCAACATCTGCTTGGTTTCCAGTGGGGACCTCAGGAAACTTCCAATCATGGTGGATGGTGATGGGGAGCCAGCATGTCACATGGCAAGAGCATGAGCAAGAGAGAGAAGCAGAGGTTCTGGTCTCTTTTAAATAGTTGATCTCACATGAACTTACTGAGCCGTAACTCACTTATCACCAGGGGTATGGCATTAAGCCATTTATTGGCCCCATGATCCAATATTTCCCACTAGGCCTCACCTTCAACATTGGGAATAACATTTCAGCATGATATTTGGAGAAAACAAACATTCAAACCATATAACCCTTTTTGGTTTACCTAGAGTAATCAAAATTTCAGATGAACCAAACAGACGTGGAAAGAAATGTCTCTTTGGGGTAAAGATATATATTAGTCAGCTCAAGCTACCATAACAAAATATTACAGACTGGGTGACTAAAAAAAGATAAATTTATTTTCTCACAGTTCTGGAAGCTGGAAACCCAAGGTCAAGGTGCCAGCAGGGCTAGTTTTTGGCAAGGCCTTTCTGCTTGGCTTGCAGATGGCAATTTCTTTCCATGTCCTCATGTGTCCTTTTTTTCTGTCACAGTGGAAAGTGAGAGATGTGTCTGGTGCCTCTTTCTCTTTTTTACAAGGTCACTAGTCCTTTTGGACTAGGGCCCCACTTTTATGACCTCATTTAATCTTAATTTCCTCCTTATAGGTCTTAACTTGAAATAGAGGCATATTGGGGTTAGGGCTTCAACACAGGAATTTTGGGGAGACACACTCAGTCTATAAACAAGATATGTCTAGGGAGAGTAATAGAATAAGTCTAGTATCTGAGTGCTGACTGTTCGTAAATAACATTTATTAGCTAATGATAAGTGCTATGCAGATGCAGATAGTGCATGGCCCAAGAATGTACCAGAAATCTAACAAACCTGAAAAGGAAACAATTCAAATGTACCCCTCTGGTCCTGATTTTAATGCCATCCTCAAAACTTCTCTCGTTTTGGTCCTAAATTAATACTGAGTTCTTTTAATTCATTTTTCTACGTTCCTTGACTCCACATACATTTCTCCTTTTCTCTGTAATTACTCTGATGACACCATCATAATCTCATCCTCACAAGAATGATAGCAATGCTTCTCCAATTTGTCTTTTCACATTTGCTCTTATGTGCCTTCAAATTATCTTTTAAAAGTATAAATCAGACGAAGTCTTTGGTGGTTTCCTATTGTTTAAGCCTGATATTCTTAATTCAGGTTATGAGGCTGTATATGATCCGGTTCTTACCTCCTTCTTGAGCCGTATTTTACAGCAGTCTTCCACCACTATTCACTATTCACTATGCTTTAGCACTTAGTAGCTACACTGAACTTGTGGTTCCTCCAACAAGCATCTTTTCTACATGCAGTTCCTTCTACCTGGGATAATCTTCCGCATTCTCCAGTGCCTTCTAGTTCCTTTGTTCTTCAACAAGTCTTTGTTTCAGGTCTTTTCCTCAGAGAGCATGCACTAGGTTAGGTTTCCCTCATTACACTGTCTTTGCACATTTGACTCTGGATCTTAGAAAAAGATCCAAGGCCTAGAGTTTAGATACTTAAGTTTTCACCATAATTCTTGACCACATCACTACTTTTCTGGACTTCCTTGTGCCGTCAAGTGTATGAAGGACCAAATATCAAGTGTACGAAGGACCAAAACTATTTGTAGAGTCAAAGGTATTTTGGAGAGTAAACTCTCTCAGATTCTCAGTGCTGACAAACCAAAACCTGTAGCTGGAGATTCAATGGGGGACAGTCACCAATGGAGTCACTCAGAGTTTTACAGTATTTTTCTAGCACGTTGGGGTTAAAACAAAGAAGTACATAATTTTGCATAGTCGCACATGTGGTAGGGTAGGGAGAACAGAAGGACAGTGTGTAAAAAACTGACTAGGCTAGTTTTGTGGTTGAAGTAATAAGCCATATGTTTTAGGTTTGTTCCTTAAATAATAAGCCATACGTTTGCTGTTTGTTCCTTAATAATGCATGTCAATTTAATAGTATCTTTTTGGAAGAAGAAAATGAATATATATATTATGCACAATAGGGAAATGATCCAAGATGGCCGATCGCTAACATCCCGGGATTGCAGCTCTCAGTGAAGGCGCGGAGAACTAGAGGACGCCACACTTTCAGACAAATTCTGGTCGCTCACGGAGCAGAAGATCCCCAGTGGAGGAAACACACGGGTCGCCAGTGCGACTCTCATGGCTGGCGTAGTGGTTCCACCGGCACCTAGGCACGGCAGCTCTCGGAGCAGAGTAAACAGGTTCGGAGGACCTGCATGGGCCCCCAGCACAACACCAGAGCCCAGCGCAGCGGCTGTGATGGCACCTCAGTGCAGCAGCACTCGGCGCAGAGTAAAAGGGACCGGTTCCCCTTCTGACCAAGGTTTGGAGCCCCAGGAAGGCAGAGTCGCCTACTACGGACACAAGAAGGAAGCCTGACAGGAGAATCCTGGGAAGAAAAGCACCATCAGTTTTAACGCCGCTGCTCTGGCCCTGGGAACTAACAACCTGGACGCCCACTCAAGAGACCTAATCTGAAAGTTGGTAAATTCAAAGACGATAGAAGGATAAATTTACAATGACGGGAAGAAACCAGTGTAAAAAAGCTGAGAATACTCAAAATCAGAATGCCTCTCCCTCTAAAGATGATCACAGTTCCACATCGACAATGGAACAAGGCTTGATGGAGAACGAGCCCATCCCAATGACAGAAGTACTCTTCAAGGAATGGATAATAACAAACTTTGGTGAGTTAAAAAGAACATGTTGCAGCCCAATGTAAAGAAACTAGGAACTTTGAAAAAAGGTTTGATGAAATCCTATTGAGAAAACTTAGAGAGGAGTATGAGTGAATTAATGGAACTGAAGAATACAATACAGGAACTCCAAGAAGTATGCACAGGTTTAAACACTCGAATTGTTCAAGCAGAAGAAGGGATATCAGAGGTCAAAGTCCAACTTAATGAAATAAAACGTGAAGAAAAGATTAGAGAAAAAAAAATAAAAAGGAATGAGCAAAGTCTCCAAGAAATGTGGGACTATGTGAAAAGACCAAATTTACGTTTGATAGGTGTACCTGAATGCGACGGAGAGAATGAATCCAAGCTGGAAGATACCCTTCAGGATATTATTCAGGAAAATTTTCCTAAACTAGCAAAGCAGGTTAATATTCAACCCCAGGTAATACAGAGAACACCACAAAGATATTCCTCAAGAAGAGCAACCCCAAGGCACATAATCGTTAGATTCACCAGGGTTGAAACGAAGGAGAAAATACTAAGGGCAGCCAGAGAGAAAGGTCAGGTTACCCACAAAGGCAAGCCTATCAGACTTACAGCAGATCTCTCAGCAGAAACTCTACAAGCCAGAAGAGAGTGGGGGCCAATATTCAACATCCTCAAAGAACAGAACCTTCAGCCCAGAATTTCATATCCAGCCAAACTAAACTTCACAACTGAAGGAAAAATAAAATCTTTTATGAACAAGCAAGTACTCAGAGATTTTATTATCACCAGGCCTGCTTTACAAGAGCTCTGAAAGAAGCATCACACACAGAAAGAAACAACCAATATTAGCCTTTCTAAAAATATACCAAAAAGTAAAGAGCACCAACATAAAGAAGAATTTACACCAACGAATGGATAAAACAGCCAGTTAACATCAAATGGCAGTAACCCTAAATTTAAATCGACTAAATCCCCCAATCAAAAGACACAGCCAAAACCCAATGGCATGTTACATCCAGACCTGTTTCACATGCAAGGATACACAAAGACTCAAAACAAAGGTATGGAGAAAGATTTACCAACCAAATGGAGAGCAAAAATAAATAATAAATAAATAAAAAGCAGGAGTCGCAAATCTCGTATTGGATAAAATAGATTTTAAAGCAACAAAGATACATACAGTGGTAAAAGGATCAATGCAACAAGAGCTAACGATCCTAACACCCAGATACATAGAGACTTAGACTCAATGAGTCAGAAAATTAATAAGGATATCAAGGACTCAAACTCAGATCCGGAACAAGTAAACTTAATAAATATTTATAGAGCTCCCCACTTCAAATACACAAAATATACATTCTTGTCAATACCTCATCACACCTACTCATAAGCTTAAATGAAACATTGATTGGCCATTATTAATACCCAATTTTTTTCAGAATAAAGCAATATTTCCATTTTCTCTCCCTCTTTCTCTTCCTCTCCTTTACTTATGTTTTTTTCTTTCCTTCTCTCAAAAAAAGAAATCAACTTGTAAACCTCTAGATCCAGGTCGGCAATGTCTCTCTCATTGCTTGATTTCCTTCCTTCCCTTCCCTTCCGTTCCCTCCCTCCCTCTCCCCTTCTTCCCTGCCTTCTTTCCTTCATCCCTTCCTTCCTCCCTACGGTCCTCCTTCCCTCCCTTCCTGCCTTCCTCCCAAAAAAAAAATATATATATATATTATGCACAATTAAAAAAAGTTTTATTCAGGAATTGTACACAACAAACTATACGTATTTAAACTGCATGATTTGATAAGTTTTGACATGTATACAGCCATAAAACTAAAACCACAATCATGATAGTGAACATATCCATCCCCTCAAATGTTGCTTTGTGCCCCTTTGTTATCTCTCCCTCCCAAGTGATCCTCTCCCTTGTGCCTCCAGGAAGCCACTAGGCTGCTGTTAAAATACATTAGCTTATGTTTGCTATAATTTCATATAAATGGAATCACACAATATGTATTCTTTTTTGTATGGTTCTTTCACTCAGCATAATTACTTTGAGACTCACTGACGGTATTGCATGTATATAGTTCATTCCATTGTATTGCTAAGTAGTATTCTACTCTTTATGGTTATATCACAATCTGTTCATCTATGTACTCTTTATCTGTTGATGTACACTTGGGTTGTTTTCAGTTTGGTGTGATTACAAGTAAAGCTGCTAAGAACATTCATATACATTATTTTAAGGACTATGTTTTCTCTTCTCTTGAGTAAATACCTACAAGTGGAACAGCTGTATCTTCTGCTAGATGTATATGTAACTTTTGAAAAAACTGACAAATTGATCAATACTTTGTATTCTTCAATCCAATCAAGTTGATACACAGTATTAACCATGACAGTTATAATCGGTCTACATTCCATCAACTAGCAGTGCATGAGTTATAGTTCTTCCACATCTTCTCTAACACTTAGTGTGGTAAATCTTTTTAAATTTTAGCTACTCTGTGTGTAGTAGTTCATTTTGGTTTTAATTTACTCTGGTTTATTGATTTCTAATTAATCCTATTATTTATGATGTTGAGTATCTTTTCAACAGTTTATTTGTCATGGCATTTTTGGGGAGGGCAAAGTGTCTATTCAAAACTTTTGCACATTAAAAAAAATTGAGTGTCCCTATTGTAGAGTTTTGAGAGTTCTTTGTGGATACAAAATCTGGATACAAGTCACTATTAGTTATGTGACTTAAACCTTTTTTTTCAGTCTGTGGCTTGTCTTTATGTCTTTTCATTCTTTTAACAGGGTCATTTGAAGAGCATTTTTTTTTTGAAGTCCAAATTTTTCTTTTATAGATCTTAGAAATATTGCTTAATTCAAGCTTGCAAAGATTTTCTTCTATGAATATCATAGTTTCAAATTTTACAATTAGTTTAATGGTCCATTCTAAGTGAATTTTTATAAAGGATATACAGTAATAACCCAATTTATTTTTGCATATGGATATAAAATTGTTCTAATCTCATTTGTTGAAAATTATTTTCTGTGTTGCATTGCTTTTATACCTTTGTTAAAAATAATTTTTCCAAATATATATGTGGGTTTATTTCTGTGCTTTCTATTTTGTTTTTCTGATGTATTTGTCTATCTTTGCAGTAAATTTAGCTGTTTTGATTACTGTGACTTAAAAAAAATCAGTTAATGTTAGCTCTCTAACTTTGCTCCATTCAAAAGAACTGGAGTGGCTGTACTGATATCACAGTAAACTTCAGACCAAAGGAAATTACCATAGTTAGAAAAGTATAATATATGTATTATAGATTGTGTGACTCCATTCAGGCTACTGTAACAAAATGCCATCAACTGAGTAGCTTATAAATAACATAAATTTGTTTCTCACAGTTTTGGAGGCTGGGAAGTCCAAAATCAAAGTACCAACAGATTAGACATCTTGTGAGGGCCTGTTTCCTAGTTCATAGATGATGCCTTCTCTCTGAGTCCTCACATGGTGGAATGGGCAAAATTGCTCTCTGGATCCTCTTTTATAAGGGCAGTAATATTATTCATGAGAATGAAACCCTCAGGATTTTATTAATTATCTCCTAACACCATGACATTGGTGATTAGGTTTTGGGAAGCACATAAACACTCCATAGCATAGACACACTATAAGAGATATATCAGTCACCTTACATGGGGACTAATAGAGTTATAACTATATATATGTAGTTAAACTATACACACACACACACACACACACACACACACATGTATATATTTGTTTAATGATGGGTGAATGGATGAAAGTGAAATAAGCACATATGAATAATCCCCATTGGGCAGCCCCAAATATTTCCAAAATATTAGAAGATATTTTGAAGATGAAATTGTGTTCCATATTTTAGCCTGTTTGTGACTTACTCTTCTCTGTCTGCTAATGCAGCTTTCCATTTCTTTGAAAACATCACATTTCCCTACTATTTCTGAGTCTCTAGAGTTGTTCACATGTTCATGTCAGAGAATATGCAGCTACAACATAGTACTGTAATTGTCTTTTTTTGGCTGCTTAAGTCACTCTACTTTGAGTTCTATGAGGTCTGCAGAACATTGCTGTCATTTCCCCTGTTATATTACTGTTATTGAGACTCTAATAAATCATATGTTTGCCAAATTTCTCAATATTAGGTTGTTTCTAAGGAGAAAGGCAAGACAACAGAAGTTTGACTTTCATAAACTTCCTAGGTGAAGCAGTAACTGGAGATTTACTCTCATTTAAGAAATTTTTCAGTAGAGAGGAGGGCACCTGAAACACCTCCCATGTTTCAGGAAGTGTCCCATTTTAAGTCCGCTAAAATGGGCAGGAGTTGAGACATTTGAGTCAAGGTAGATACATCACACATTAGTCTAAAGAATGAGCTTAGGCCGGGCGCGGTGCCTCAAGCTTGTAATCCCAGCACTTTGGGAGGCCGAGATGGGTAGATCACGAGGTTGAGAGATCGAGACCATCCTGGTCAACATGGTGAAATGCCATCTCTACTAAAAATATAAAAAATTAGCTGGGCATGGTGGCACGTGCCTGTAATCCCAGCTACTCAGGAGGCTGAGGCAGAATTGCCTGAACCCAGGAGGCGGAGGTTGTGATGAGCCAAGATCACGCCATTGCACTCCAGCCTGGGTAATAAGAGCGAAACTCCGTCTCAAAAAAAAAAAAAAAAAAAAAAAAAAAAAAGAATGAGCTTAGTCTAAAGAATGGCAGCTTCTGAGTTTTGCCACTCTACCTTTTCTCAGGACTAGATCTAAGGAAGTTATTTTAAGTTCCTTGACAATGGCCCACAGAGTGGGGATGCTATTAAAAAATGGGAAGGAAAGCTCTCATCACATGTTATCTTAGTTGATCAGATCATGATAGGCCCTGCTTACAACCATTTATAGGTTGCCTAGTAACTTAGATGCGAAGCTGTGCTTGCCAAAGGTCCTGCCTTATTTGGCCCTTTCTAATTCTCCAAGCCCATCGCATTCTACTTTTTCTCCTTTCTCATAAAGCTCTAGCTCACTGGCCTCATCTCAGTTCCTTGAACACAGTGAATTTTTTTCTGCCTAAGGGCCCTTCATCTTACTGTGGCATCTGGCTAGAACATTCATCCACAGATCTTCAGTGGTTGGCCCTTTTTTTATAACCTTTTAGGTATCTGTTCAAATGTGGCCTCTTCCCCAATGCCTTGCCCAGCGACCTGAGCTAAAAGAGTCCCCAAATCCAGTTGTTCTTTATACATCGTCATGCTTATTCCCTTCATAGTACTTATCACTATCTAATTATCCTGTTCATATATTTATTTATGTGCTATTATCTGTCTCTCCCTACCACATAAGCTCTTTGAGAATGAGATCCTTGCTATGTGTACACTGTTATGCCAAAAACATTGAATGGTATCTACCACATTGTAGGTAGTCAGTAAAAATTGTTGAACCAATGAATTTTTCTGTCTTGTGTACCAGGCTATGAGTTCTGAAAGGACTGGATCAAGGTCTGTTTTGCTCATTATTGTATCTCCACACACAGAGGACATACCTAATAAATATGTGCTGAATAAAAGTGAAAGAAGAATAGTAAGTCAAGAGTTATAAAGCCAGGAACACTAAAAAATCCAGGCCAGACACTTTCAACCAGATAGTAGTTAATTGTAGCAGTATCCTCCGCATGCAGGTTCAGAGCCTGCTCTGAGGGACCAGGCAAACGGAAGTGAAGTGCAAGTCTGCCAAGGTTTCACCAGCCTGTAGGCGCATTCAGGGTCACATGAAGACTGCCTGATTTCAGGACTTATTTCCTCTATTTGCATAATGCTTGTCCTCAGCCCTTAAGATGATCCCTTTCAGCGTTTCTGAGAGTCCCCAGGAAGTTTCTCACTTGTGATTAAGAAAAAGTCTAGCTTTATTAATGCTCTCACTGCCTTTTAGACACCATATTTATCCTCCAAAGATTACCATTACTCTGCTAGGTCCTGTTCTACCAAGCATGCCATCCTTCAGCAAACCCCCACTGCTGTTTCACTGACCACAAAAGACTTTACCAGACTCATGCATTTCTGAACATTTCACAGCAATGAAGCTCGATGATCTGTGGCAAACTTTCCCCTGTGGTTACCTCTCTCTCCCTTGTAACTTTTAATCCGAGGTGTCAAAAACGGTGCAGTATGTATGTGTGTGCCTTAATATTTTATAGTGTTCATCTAATGTTTTTTCAGTTTTTATCTATGGCTCTCACTTTGCCTAGGACCCAAACATGAATCTATGGAATTTGGCTGGGAACAGATATGAGTGACAGTCACAAAGTTATGCTCAGAATCCGTATTCTCCTCTGGGAAGAAACTGGAGCGCTCGTTGTGGCTCCCACCTTCCACCTTTAAGATGAGTTCTCTCCCAGAGGATTCTACAGCCCTCCTCCAATTAGACTGCTGTCAGAGTAGCTCACAATTTATTCAAAATGCCTAGTGGCCCAAGCAGGAGACAAAGCTCAAGCTCTTTCCTAAAGGCTCATCGGGCTTCAGGAAAATAGTCTGGCTTCACAAATTCCCCAGACATGCTTAAACGGGCCCAGATTCAAGCTGAAACTCTACTAGCCTGATACAAAAGCAAATCTTCAAATGAACTCAGCTGTAACAAACCTTCAA